AGAGTGATCTGGGGGGGGGGGGGGGAGACCCAAAACAGAGATTTTTTTCCCCATTTAAAAAGTCTACTATAAAACATATAGTTTTATAGCACAACTGCCATTAAGGGCCAAACTAGATCTAACTGCCCCACGTCTGTAACAAGATCTTTAAAAACATTTCCCAAATGCAAAACACAGTGAGCTTTCTCATGGGAATGGTGCCCAAACATCAATGCAGTGGCCACACTGCTTCCTCTGGGGAGACTGACTCCATGCTTTACTCAACATTCCACCCCTGCTGCAGGAGGGTTTTTTGCATTAACAAAATATACATAGTCAGTATATCCCCATGTTGTGTTAACACTACAGAAATATATCCAGTAGTGACTTAAAAAAAAAAAAACTCACAAAAAACTCACTGGGGGGCAAGGAAGAATGTCAGGTGGGAGGTAAATGGCACTGGATTGGAGTCTGTGTGGAAATGCATACTTTCCGGTCCACACTTTCCCAAACCCTCTTTGCTGATATTTCAAGAAAGAGCATATCAAAGAAGGGAAAGCTCTGTGTGGAAACAACCACAGCAGTAGGAAGGAGGGAATTCCTTCCTTCCACAGTACAGTGGAAGGCCTGTTGCTGTGATGGAGAGTCTGCTTGGCAAACAGAAGGTCCTGAGTTCAAGGCCCGGCATTTCCAATGGAAATGAGGAGGTAGCTGTTGATGTGAAAAAGACCTCCGCCTGAGTCCCTGGAGAGCCGCTGCCAGTCAGAGTGGACCTGGACACACTAAGGGTCAGACTCAGGATAAGGCCACTTCATGCGCAGCTCTCCCACCTCCACCCCCCAATGCTGTTCTTCTGATTTAAATGGCTATCTCACAGCTTCTGTGTGTGTGGGTGGGGACGGACGGACACACACACAGACAGGTACTAAACCTGCATACATTCACCCCCAGCCCTGAGGCAAACAGCAGCTTACGGACAGCAACTGAAATTCAGAAAGCAGTGTGTGTGTGTGTGTGTGTGTGTGTGTTAGTGAGGAGGCTGCCCCCTCCTTGGTCGGCCCTGCCATAGGCTGGTCAGATGTTCACACAGCCAGAGAGGAAGGGAGTTCATCTCCCCATCACCCCACTTTAGCCTCAGCAGGGGGGAAGGAGTTAATGCCCAAGGGAGCCACCTAGCCAGGAAGGAGCCAGCAAAGAGACCAAGAAGACGAAGGGGAGGATCCAGGGCTCTTCCTCACCATCTTCCGCACTGTTCACTTCCTACCTTGTACTCTTCGGAGGCCTCTTTGAGAGGAAGGGTTTCGTGATCTCTGTGCTCCTTGGATCGGTCGCAGACCACACAGATGAGGGCTTCATCGTCCTTGCAGAAGAGCTTCAGCGGCTCCTCGTGCTTCTGGCAAATTCTCCCTTTTCTGGCTGCCACAACCGCCTGATGCCCAAAACAAAGAAACAGGATTCATTCCCCCTCCCCAGAGCTGTACCTCTCCTTGTAATGACTGGCTATAATTAGTGCCTTGGAAAAACACACAAACACACACACATTCTCAACAGTCCCTTCTGTGTGTGGATACTTATTTCCGACAACAGAAGGCTCACCCTCCCTCAACAGGTTTTTCTACAGAATGGGACTCTGTGGAACTGCAGAGAAATCCAAAAGGGGGGGGGGGACTCAGGAAGGGTCAAATTTTCCCCCAATACCCTTTGAAATGGCTGCTGCAGGGATCTACTCCAGGCCCAGCCGGCATCGACAGTGAGAGATTCTAACTGGTCCCGTCAGGAAAAGACAGGGGAAGGGGGGAGAGTGCTTTCCAGGCCTATTTTGGCCTTGCAGGCAGGGATCCTTAGGGCCAGGCCTGACAAGGGTTGCCAGCGTCAGGCTGGGAAATTCCTAGAGATTTGGTGGTGAAGTTTAAGGAGGGCTGGGCCTGGGGAAGGGAGAGGCCTCATGTGGATATAATGCCACAGAGTCCACCCTCCTAAGCAGCCATTTTCTCCAGGGAGACAGAGCTCTGCTGTCTAGAGCTCAGTTGTAATATTCTGGGGGATTTCCAGGCCCCACTTGGCAGTTGGCAACCCTAGGCTCGGAAGCAACTTGATGCCATCTCACTTTCATGACTCAAGTAGGCGCAGCCATTCTATGAAAGCCATTCCATGAAAGCCAGCATGGTGCAGCAGTTAGAGCTTCAGATTAGGGTCTGCAAGACTCAGGTTCAGATCCACATCTTGCAGTGGAAGCTGACTGGGTGACTTTGGAACAGTCACACATTTTCAGCCTAACCAACCTCACAGAGTTGTTGTGCAGATAAAAAGGGGAAAGAATAATGTAAGCTGCTTTGGTCCCCACTGTGGAGAAAGACTATAAATTTCCTGGGTAGAGGCTGTGTTGGTGGTGGTGGTAGAGATGGAAAACTGAAGGCAGATAAAGGTAGGCTGGAGAAGGAAATAGGTTTGTCAACTCTAGGTTGGGAAATTCCTAGACATTTGAGGGGTGGAGCCTGGGGAAGGTGGGGTTTGAAGAGGGGAGGAACTTCAGACCAATATAATACCATACACTCCACCCTCATTTCCTCAACAAGAACTACCATTGCCAGCCTCCAGGTGAGGGCTGGAGATAACCCAGAATTACAACTGTTGTCCAGGTGACAGAGATCAGTTACCCTGGATAAAACAGCTGCTCTGGAGGGTTGAGTCTTTGGCATTATACCCCACTGAGGCTGCTTCCCTCCCCAAGCCTCACTGTCACAAGGCTCCATCTCCAAATCTCCAGGAATTTCTGAACCTGGAGCTGGCAGTCCTAAGGTGAATTGATCTCTGTAGCTGGGAGATCCATTGTGATTCCCAGAACACTGCCACTGCTGCTGTGGGGGGAGAGGAAGCAGGTGGGTGGTTGGGAGCACTGCCTGCCACTGTTGCTGCTGTGCAGGGTGGGGGAGGAAGCAGGCAGGAGGCTGGGAGTGTGATGGGGTGGGGGCAGAAAGAGAGAGAAAGGGTGGGGAGGCAGAAAAACAGAGAATGATGATGGGCCAGAAGGAGAGAGGAAGTAACATGCATGTAAAGAGAGTAAGAGGGGGGGGGGCAAAAGGGAGAAAGCCTGAGAGAAGTAGGGGGAGAGGGGCGGAAGCAAAGGTGTGAGGATTGGGATAACCATCCTGCAAGTTTCTTGCAGGTCTCCAATTGTAATTTCTATTTTAAAAGAAATTAAAACATTTTTGTGGGCCCCTAAAAGTATAATGGGCCTTCAGCACTGTGCCTAATGGATACGTTAGCCCTGGTTCTGAGGGAAAAAGAGAGAATTCTGAGGAGAGAAAGGAGCTGTAGGAGGGGTAATGAAGAAAAAGAGAGTTCTGAGGGAAAGGAGGGAGAGGGAAGCCATCGGGGTTCTGGGGCAGAGACCAGGGAAGCCTCAAGAGAGCTGCGGCTGTACCAAGAGCCCCAAGAGGAGCACCAGCCAGCACCACAGAGAGCCACCCCAAGCCACAGCAGACAGAGAGGGAGAGACTCGGAGAAGGCCTCAGAGAGACAGGAAAAGACTCTCATCGCCTCTTTGGTTCCCACTTCCAGTTGTGAGGCCTACATCTGAGTTTGCTATGCATGTGTCCTGTTTAGATGCCCCACCCCTCCACTTTGGATTAAACCCTACTTGTATGTTAAATTCTACTTGTAAAATGGTTGCCAGTGATTGGAGGGTCTGGGAGCTGTTTCTGAAGAGTTCCTTTTTTGCCTACTAGCCATCCTCCCTCTTAGGAAGTGAAGGCCAGTGGGCTGCAGCTGCTTTTTTTGTGTGATCCCCCAGACCCCTTCATTAACTAACTCGGGTCCTATAATGTCTTCCCTCAGCTGGGGTTAGTGGGGAAAACTATGTTACAGAAGCTTTTATTAAGCCTTAAATTCTTTGGGAAGTCAACGAATGAATCACAACTCCCAGTCCCAGGTCAACCACATTCTCCCAGCGCCTGCTTTGAGCGGCCATTTGCAGTGTGCCAGAGGAGCCCCCAAACACCCCCCCAATTCCTTTCTTTCAGTGCACATTTTGGGGGGCTATGATGCCCAACCTCCAAAAGTGGATCCAAATCTGTAAGGCCGTGAAGCTGGACCTGCATGAATATGATGGACCCTGATAGGTTTTTAAGTCACCTTTCAGATTTAACTCCCAACTAGAATGTCAACCTTCTCACAGACAGCACCTCCTGCTAGTTGGCTCTCCAGAAAACACCCTTCATGTTACAGGCGCAGGATGATTCTGATACCAGCACAACAAGCTGATATTCATTCTGATGTGATTTAACGAGTTTGATTTGGAGTTTTGCCCTCCCTGGATCTTAATTCTTAAATGAGACATTTCTTCATATCCTGGATCCATAAGGATTCAGTATGCAAGATACCTTCAAAAAGGGGTTGGATAAATATATGGAAATATGCCATGAGGAAGGTAGGGGGAGGAATAAAGAACAGATAAAAGGAAGTACTTCTTCACCCAAAAAATAACTAACAGGTTGAATTCATGGCCGCAGGAAGTGGTGGAATCTACAAGCATAGAAAGCTTCAAGAGGGTGCTGGATAAATATATGGAGCAGAAATCCATCAATAGCTATTAGCCACAAGGTATAGGCAGAACACTATGTCTGGGGCAGTGATGCTCTGTATTCTTGGTGATAGGGAAGCAACACTGGGAGGGCTTCTGGAGTTCTGGCCCCGCTGGGGGACGTCCTGATGGCACCTGGGTTTTGGTCTCTGTGACAGTGTTGGACTGGATGGGCCATTGGCCTGATCCAACATGGCTTCTCATATGTTCTTACAAGACAGGGTGAGGAAGAGGAAGTAGCTAGCCCACCCATTACGATGAAAACCCCCTCCTCAAGCACCCTTTTTTATCCGTTTATTACTAGCTGCTGCTTTGCAAGCCACTTTGTGGCTGGCGGGGGGGTGGGGTGGAGGGAGGAGAAAATAATATTGTATATTATATTATCTTGGATATCCCATTGTATTAAAAGTTACCAGCCAGCAAGTGGCAACAATGCTAAGCTTGAGAGACTTTTGCACCAACGTGGAAGTTTTGAGCCGCACACAAGGACGCCAGAAAGTCTCCCTCCAGAGATTTCTCACCTTGTTCTCTTGGAAAGCCTCCTCGAGAGGAACCACCTCGTGATCTTTGTGCTCCTGGGACAGGCCGCAGACCACGCAGAGGGGGGCTTCGTCCTCCTTGCAGAAGAACTTCAGGGGCTCCTGGTGCTTCTCGCAGACTCCCCCCTTCGCTTCCGCCCCCTCCCCTTCCAAAGGGCGGAACCTCTTGGCGATTTCCACAAAGTTGGCCAGCTGCTGGTTCGGCCTCAGGCGCTTCAGCTGAGCTGTTCCTCTGCACTGGGGGCAGGAAGGCCCGGCGGTCCCCGACTTCCTCCAGCTGCGGGTCAGGCAGGCCCGGCAGAAGTTGTGGCCGCACTCGGTGAGGATCACCGGGTCCCTGAAGAAGTCCAGGCAGATGGAGCAAGAGGCTTCCTTCCACAGCTCCTTCACGGGACCCTCAGCCGCCATGGCCGCCTCGAGCAGGAGAAAGCGGAGAACAGAGGTCGTTTCCCTCCCCGCAAATGACTCCTATTGGATGAGGAGGGATGAACCGCCGGGCGACGGAGCTGCAGAAACGAAACCGCTCTAGAGAAACAGCCTGGGGAGGAGGGCGAAGAAGTCTTCTCTGGCCCCGCCTTTGCAAGCGCCTCCGACGGGGGGAAGAAGCCGCTTCCCTCCGGGGCGCACCCCAGGGGTTTGCCAAAGGGGGCGGGTGTTCCCGGGGCCGGCGGGAGATGCTTCCCGGGGTCTCTGGGGCAGGCAGGGGTGGAGAGGGCAGCGCTCACTGACCCGAAGGGGAAGTCTGCTGCTGAGGAAGAGGCGGGCTGGAAAGAGGCGGGGGGGGT